AGCGGCTGGGTCCGTGAGCCATGGCCGCTGAGCCTGTGCGTCCGGAGCCTGTGCTCCGCAACGGGAGAGGCCACAACGGTGAGAGGCCCGCGTAATAAAAAAAAAAAAAAAAAAAAAAAAAAAAGAGAATCTTGTTAGCTCTTCTATTTCAACCTAATTTTAATTTAAGAAATATTTGTTGAAGGCCCAGTCAGTGCTGGATTAGTTTTCTAGAGGTGCCATAACAAAGCACTCAGACTGAGGGCTTAAACAATAGACATTTATTCTCTTACAGTTCTGGAAGTTGGAAGTCCAGGACCAAGGTGTGTGCAGAGCTGGTTTCTCCTTGGCCTGCAGACAGCCGGTCTTCTCCCTGTGCTCACGTGGTGGTCCCTCTGTGTCCTCATCTCCTCTTCTGATAAGGACGCCAGTCAGACTGGATTAAGGCCAACCCATATGACCTCTTTAAAACTTAATTACCTCCTGGTTCCTCAAAAAGTTGAAAATAGAACTGCAATGTGATCCAGCAATGCCGCTTCTGTGTATACAAAGGAGTTGAAATCATTATCTTGAAGCGCTATCTGCACCATGTGCCCTGCAGCATTTTTACAATAGCCAAGACATGGAAACAACCTAAGTGTTCATCAATGGATGAGCGGATAAACAAAATGTGATATTTGGAATATACATATAATGAAATATTATTCAGCCATAAAAAAGAAGGCCATTCGGCCAGTTGCAATAACGTGAATGAATCTGGAGGACATTTTGCTAACTGAAATAAGTCAGAGAAAGAGAAATACAGTACTGTATGATATCACTTATATGTGGAATCCAAAATCATCAAACTTGGGACTTCGCTGGTGGTCCAGTGCATAAGACTCTGTGCTCCCAATGCAGCGGGCCTGGGTTTAGTTCCTCGTCGGGGAACTAGATCCCGCGTGCACGCCGCGACTAAGAAGTCTGCATGTGGCAACGAAGATCTCACATGCCGCAACTAAGACCCAGCACAGCCTAAGTAAGTAAGTAAGTAAATAAATAAATATTAACCAAAAAAAAAAAAATCATCAAACTCATAGAAACAGAGTAGAATGGTGGTTGCCAGGGGCTGGGCTTGGGGGAAATGGGGAGCTGTTGGTCAAAGGGTACAAACTTCCAGTTATATGGTAGATAAGTTCCAGGTTTTAATGTACAGCTCAGTGACTATAGTTAGCAAGTATTGTGTACGTGCAGGTTGCTAAGAGTAGATCTTAACTGTTCTCACCATAACAACAACAACAACAACAACAAAATGGTGATTATATGAGGTGAAGGATGTATCATCTAACCTTATTATGGCTTGCAATATGTATGTGTATGAAATCATCACACTGTACATCTTAATGTTGTAAAAATTAAGAAACAGAAACCTCATTTAAAATGGAGTCAGAGGGAACTCCCTGGCGGTCCAGTAGTCAGGGCTTCGCACTTTCACTGCAGAGGGCTTGGGTTCAATCCCTGGTCGGGGAACTAAGATCCTGCAAGCCGCATGGTGTGGCAAAAAAAAAAAAAGAGTCAGGAGGCCAGAAGAGGGAGCAAGCATGCCCTACTGAACTACATTAATTGCAGACCCAATAGAAAAAGAGTACCTTGCATCTACAAAGAAGGTTATTACTTTACTACCCAGCAGGAGGAAGAATTTCTCCTTGCCCGACGACAACAACAGCCCAGCCAATAAGAGTCTGTCACAACTCAGCCAATGAAAGACCACTTACATGTCAAACTCCCAGTTTCCACCAATGGGTTCTTTGCTCAGACTAGCTCCTTCCATCTCCTCCTTCTCAAGAGTTTTCCCTCCTTTGTTCTCCAGACTTGCCTGTGGTTAGCCATAGATTACACGTCCCGAATTGCAATTTTTTGCCGTTCCCAAATAAACCCATTTTGATGGTCTCTTTTTATTGTTTCAGGTCAACAGCGTACAATCAAGGTGTACATTATATGTCAATTACATGTTCTATATCAATTATATCTAAATATATGTCAGTTATACCTCAATAAAGCTTCGGAAAAAATGACCTCTTCAAAGTCCCTACCTCCAAATACAGTCCCATTCGGAGGTACTGGGAGTTGAGGCATCAACATGTGAAGTTTAGGGGAACACAATTCAGCCCTTAATAGATACCGCGCTCTGTGCTAGGCCCTTAGGGGTGATGTGGAGCAGAGCCAGCAGGGTCCCTGCCCTCTGGTGGGACAAATGTCACAAAAGGGGAAGGACGGGAGCTATGGAAGCAGAGTAAGGAGAACTGCCTTGCCCGGGGCGGGGCCATATCCCAGGAAAACCGAACTCATGCAAAGCATTTGCGGAATGGCATAATTTGACCTTAGAAAGTTGGACATTCTGGAAGTGAATATGTGTCAGATGAGGAAGGAACACGCTTTCTGTTTTCCCACGAGACGTGCAGCAAACTTCCCCTCCAACAAATGCAGAGTGGGTAAGGCTGGCAGGAAACGTATTCGTTAATATGTTTCATCAAAGTTGCCTCGGGGTCCTAAAACTGTGAGTAATTATCATCTCAGTTATGTAAGGTGGTTGTATGGTTACTTTGAGTTAACTTTTAGATTGGGGTATAATTTACTTACAGTGCGGTTGTGTGTATTTACACCCAGTGGAATGCCCAGATGGTAAATGTATACAATTCTGCCAGTTACGATGACCCCCGCCGCCCCTCCCCCGCCCCGGGCAGAAGTGACCATTGCTCTGTTTTCCCCCCTACAGGGACGCTGCCATCCTAGAACCTCACAGGCTCGGTCTCATTCTGCACGTGCACCTTTGTGTCTGGCTTTTTCCCTCAGTTCGCTCCGAGACCGGCCACCGTCCTGCACCCCTCAGTGGTCGATTCCTTCTGTTGCTGAGTGTATTCCGTGTGTGGATGGACCACAGTTTGTTCACCTGTCGACTGACACCTGGGCTCTGCCAGGTTTTGGCTCTGATGAGGGCAGTTGCTCTGAATGTTCTCGTCTAAGGCTTTTTCTGTACATTCGTGATCATTTGTTGTGGGTCAGTGCCTAGGAGTGGAATGGCTATCTGATGGTAGGGTAGATGAATGTTAAACTTCTGAGCAAACCAGCAGCTTTCCAAAGTGTTTGGGAAAACACTTTTTTGTTGTTTTTGGTTTTTTTTACATTTTGGCCCCGCCCCGTGGCCTATGGGATCTTAGTTCCCCGACCAGGGGTCGAACCCTTGCCGCCTGCAGTGGAAGCACAGAGTCTTAACCACTGGACCGCCAGGGAAGTCCCTGAGAAAAACATGTTTTATCAAACAACGTTATCAAATCACTTACTTGTCTTTTATCCACGTATTGACCTGAGACCACTGTGAGCTCGTCTACAATGGGGCTGTGTTATTGGTGCAAAGAAGAGAGAGCACCTCATTATAATTACTCAGACCCTCACGACATCTGATACTGAGAAAAAGGGGGCTGTCTGTCCTAACCCAACCCAGAGGACAGAGCCTCCCATCCCTGGGCCACACGGGAGTGAGGAAGCTGGTGCCAGGGAAGAATGATTTCCCCTCCAAATTGA